AGAGAGAGAGAGAGAGAGAGAGAGAGAGAGAGAGAGAGAGAGAGAGAGAGAGAGAGAGAGAGCTCTGCCATAGCGGACGGCGCTCCGAGCTGCGGAGTTCTATTGTCTGAATGTTTTTCCATATGAATATGCAGCTCACAGTCAGAGTGTACAAAAACAGTTTGAAAAACTTCTATAAAGTGCGAAGGGTTCAAACCTGGATTTCGAGCAAACCCTGGATTTCAAGAGCGGAAGTGGCTATCAGCTGCTGAGACTATAGCGATGAGTCTGTTCTTCCTCTTTTTGTCGTTTTTTAACCGTTTTTCCTTTTCCTTTCTCAGATATGCTCATCGCCTTCTTCTTAACACCACAGTTACTGGCTTTGACATTTTGTTTCCTCTTATGTCCCCTCACCAGGGGCATGGAAATCACAAACGAGGGTTTGCCTTAACAACAATGTTTGTCCTGTCCTGTGGTTGTAATGCCAGATGCAATCTCTGGAGGGTGTGAAGAGGGATATAATTGAAGATTACGCAGAATTCGGATCCAAAATTTATGCACCCATAACTCGAGAAGGCAATTTTCCAGACAGTGCCACGAAGGGCATGACCATGGATCAAAGTGAATTTGAACCCTGGTCATACGCTGGTATATAAACTCTCAACAGATCTCTCACCTCCCTCCCTCTCCTCCCTCCCTCCCTCTCCTCCCTCTCTCCCTCTCCTCCCTCTTAAAGAGGTGATAAGAGCAACCTCTCTAACAGGCTCCTCTCAGTGACTACTTGCTCTCTGGTCTCTCATCGATGATAAGAGCTGCCCTGTGGGCCCAAGGATGGGGACCCTCAGACTTTGTTGTGGTTGTATTCTCTTCTTAAGATGCTGCCCCGTTTCCTCTCACTATGACCCCCTTTGTAAAAGCAATAAACTTGAATAAAGTCATCTGCGCATGAGCCCTACTTCCTCCAGGCTTGACTTGGCTCCGAAGATGCTGTTACATGCAGGCTTGAAACATGCCTACTGAAGGTTTCATTTCCTGTCCAGGTTGAAGCTTGCGATCTCCTAAGAAAAAAAAAAAAAAAATCATTGTCTTCCGTCCCCCTTCTTGGCCTCAGTTTAAGCCAAGTCTTTTTCCCGGCCCCCTTTCTCTTTCTGTTTCATGCTTGTCGGTGATAAGCAACCAGATTGTTGCCTCACAGAGTAGATGGGGCTGTATTGGTTTCCTCTTCTGGTCTTGTATTGGTTTCCCTTTCTGGGCCTATCTTTGGCTGTGGTGATTTCCCAACTGCTACTGCCCTGCCCTGTCAGGCAAGGAGCAGCAGGGATCCCATTTCCACAGTGCATATGGTTCCCCCTACTGCAATTTGCCTGACATTGATTGCTGGACTGTGGTCATTTGCACTTCCTTTTCCTTTGGTTGCTTCATCATGGAGTTCCTTGTTCGTTGCGGCCTTTTCATTGATGCTAAGAGCTCCTGGAGATCGAAGACGAAGTGACCAAGAAGCCGGCGCCGATCACAATGGCGGAGTTACGTAGGTACATGAAACCCCGTGACACGGGAATTCGCCGGCGAAAACTAGTTGCGGCGCAGCTGAATTACCTCAACACGCTTCTGGAGGAGTCGAAGGCGAACCACATGGGTTTTCGAGGTTACGACAACTGCTGGCCATGTCCGCTTGGCGAGTTCAAGCCGCCGCCGGTGGCGGCGACAGTGTCTGTGGAGATGAAGGCAGGCAAACTGGTGCCTTTAGTGTCGCCCAGTATGCGCACGGCTCCCGACAGTGCTGCATCTCACCCAAGCATGAGGAAAGCCAGCATCCAGAGTGCGGGGCTGGTGCCAAACAGACTCATCCAGCGACCACCAACACCAACTATCAGCGGAAAATCGAGCATCGAGATGGATCGATACAGGGCCGCAACAGTGCTGCAAAGACTGCTTCGTGGGCGAGCCGCACAGATTGCAATGGATGGCATCCGATCAAGACGGCTGGAACTCATCCGGGAGCTCCAGCTCGGCGAAAAGCTGGCCAATTTGGGAAAGATCAAGCTGCCGGATTTCATCCAAGATCGAGAACAAATCGGAGCCGCAGATCTAGGAGATGCTTATCCGGCCTCGCTGTCGAGGACCATCGCTGGACTGCTTGAAACGAAGCTTGACCTGACGACCGGGAAGATGATCGGCCAAATGGTGCAAATGATGGCTATCAAAGATCCATATCTGCGAAGGCACAGCATCGAGGTCGTGGTTGAGCTTGCAGGTCAGATATGTTGCCACACTGCCAGATACTGCTTTCAATAGCATCTGCCCACGAAAGGTGGCAAAATACGTTCATTACTATTTATAGCCATCTTCCTCTGAATAGAACGTACAGTCACAAACTCTCACAATAGACCCTACCCACCCAGGGCAACTTTCAGTCTACACACTGCTGTAATGACGCTAGCACGTTCTATTCGGGTGAAGAAATCAGATCATAATAATTATAGTAGGCTGTAGGAACCCCTGCCCGAATTGAAAGAAGAAGAACAAAAAGAGAAAAAAGAACCCCCGCCCGAAACAACACAAATGGTCAGGCACGCACAAAACGAAAATAATGCCCGTCTTCTTTTCAAAATAAAGCGTTGACCCTGTCTCTTATACACATCTAGATGTGTATAAGAGACAGGGGTAATGGTGTTGGACAGAGGATGAAAAATGACA